TTCTTAGCTACTGTTAGCTAATTTATTTTTTTAATAAATTTTTCTTCTGAAGCATGCAAGTTGGAACATTTAGATCTTATTTCAATTTATATATTTTTCAGATAAAATTACTTAGATTCATACATTTCTTTAATCATACAAAAAATTAGACTCCACATTGAAGTAAATACATTAAAAACATAAACAATGTTGACGAACCCAGTATGAAAAATTTTTACAGATTAATAAAATTACAGATAAAAATGCCAAAGTTTCATTATTGCCAGTGAATCAAAGAAGAGGTGAATTTTTCTAGTAACCTAAACAGGTTTATAATTAATTATAAAATTAGGCATCAAAAATTAGACATTAAAATACAATAGGGAGAAACAGAAATTTGAGAAAGTGTCTTTGGCGGGTTGAGGAGAGATGTAAGACATAATAGAAAGAGATTATAGGTCACTTTATATTTGGCATTTTCTCCTAAAAATATCTTTAATTAAGCAGACTCTCTTCTGTTTTCAGTCAATTTTCAAACATTTATTGACTTATGCCAGGCATTTACCAGGATTTCCTCAGAAACCTGATGAATCACAGGCAGCAGCAAAAATAAATATACTAGTGGGGATTCATCCCCAACAGCATTCAGTGCTTTAAAAGTTTCTTCTCCATGAGGCCAGTCCCAGATATTTTGTTCACTGAATGATCCTTCTCTGCAGCTGTTGGACCTAATTATGAGGACATTTTGGCAACAGGTTAAAGCAGCATGGCTGTATAAATATTTTTTTAGTAAGACTTTTTGTTTGATGATTTTAGCGTCACTTGCTCTGCATTGTGCACAAGGTTATGATTTAAAGAACGATATCTAACACTGGCATTAGAGGTGGCTAAAGTAGAATGTTTAATACCATAGCATTAAGGGCTTAGAGGTGTTTTGTGCCTTATGTGTTTTTAAAGCTTAGTATTGATCTGCTGTCAAGAGAGAGAAAATATCAAAAGAATTAAAGGCTTAGAAGGAAAAAAGGAGAGAACCAAGGCAAGGAAGTAGATTAAAAAAACCCAAGAATGAGTAGGTGGGAGGGAACAGATTTTTTTACTAGGATTTCTAGCCTCCTTGAAATCTGAGAAACAGGGAAAAAAAGGAACTACTTCTATATTTCTGCACTGTCTAATGATACACGGAGTGACTTGTTAGAAAAGAATCAGCATCCATAACCTCATCAAAGACAGAACTTTTGCAGATTCATTCTGTCAAATTTCCTATAAAAACCAGAGTACCATATGTATTTTGAAAATGTATTCCTATTATTTCTACTTATAAAGAAGGAAACTAAAAGTCTTATCAGTGAAGTATTTCTGTCAGACACGATATTGTTACCTTCATTTTCACTTCTGGACTATCTGGGAAATAGAAGTCGCTAATGCATCAGCTTTTGACTTGCACTTCTAAGGAACTTTTATGAGGTACCTTTGAGCAGTGCCATATTTACTTCAAATAAAATAGCACTTAGAGGTATGGAAACAAAATGCATCCATATTCTGACTTCAGTAACAGACATTTCTAAAATGCCACTTCAAAAAAATAAATCAGGATTTGTTGAGGAGGATCAGCCCAGTCTCAGTTTAATGACTGGCCTAGAGCCAAGAGAGGGAGTAACTCAGAGAAGCTAGTGATCTTACTGGAGCAAGGGGCATCTGAGTCTGGGAAATTGGAATGACACAAATGACATCAGAAGTTCAGTGTTAGTGTGAATTGGGTAGCTGGTGACTTGTATTTAAAGTGAGAAAATAAATTTGAAGTAAAGAGAAGAAAGTCCCAAGGCAGGCTTTGATACATTGAAGTCAGGTATTTGAGTTAGCTTGGCCATTAGTATTCAAAGCTGAGCAAAATCAAGCAGTAGGGAAGGACCACCTGGTGCAGGGCACAGTGTTCCAGAAGGCTTTTGTACACCTTGGAGTCTTATTAAGTTTGTGTTGTCCAAAACATATTTAGAAGCAATTACAAGAATGGCTGGAAGAGATGCTGGGTAGCAAGCCGACTACAAATGACATAAGCACTAGAAAAGAATGCAGTACAGTGATATTCAGTATAATATTCTGCTCCATATTAGTAACTCTGCTGGGAGATATTTCTGGACTGCACATTGTGACATTGTACATTGAATAAATCTAAGAATTTGTATTGCCCAGGGCAGGCAAGGGATGGACATATTTTAGACCTTTTGGGAGACCTAGCTCTAAGCTTGCAATAATGGACCTAATTCTGTAAAGCAGTGAAAGACAAACATAAATTAGTACATATTTGTTTTGCCAAGGACATTGAGTAAAAATGTATGCTAACAATTCTGCTAAAGGCATGAAATCCATAAGAATGCAGCCCAGCAGACAGTGCAATCCCCTGTGGTAGAAGATATGCAAAACCATCGGGACATTCACAGAAGCTGCTGAAAATACATAACTAGCATTTAGCAAGGGGAGGCTGGAATGATTTGTCTTTCTCCAGTGAGACGGCTCCTTCCTTGAGAGGGTAAGTATCCCTGTTTGAAATTATTTCTACTCAATGGAAATTGCAATAAAACTGTAAAAATAATACCCAACCGCAACACAAAACCAGACCAGAGACACTTCTTGAATGTTTGGGACTATGGAGAGTAAAGCTTTCCTTTGCAGAAGAGAGATTCCTTATCTGAGAGAGGGGGGAGGTGGGGGTCCCTTTTAGTCTGTGGGGATGTGAGCACCAGCGAAGGAACCCAGCCCCTTCCAGATCTCTGCTTGTGACAGAAAAGCTGGGCAGACAGTGGTCCACAGCCTCAGAGACAAGTAAGGAATTAAAAAGCCTTTAGGGGGCTGCTATCATTCTCCCGTGAGGTCACTGTAGACCTAAGCCAGACTGCCTTTCTCCCAGGACTGGTCTGTGGCTGAACCTGATGAAAGTGAGGGAATTTGTGCTGAAGCGGGAGCTGGGACTGGGCTTGCTGGGTCCCTAACTTGCTATCTACACTGGGGTGTGGGAGCTGCACCTCTGATGTGCTGACAGAGGATTTCCTCTCGTAAGACACTGAAAGCTGAAGGCAGAAAACTGATGTCTTTCATCCTTCCTCCTCAGAGTGGTTGGGACTTACAAAGGGTTTCTGGCATTGATGGGGACAACAAGGGCCATCAAACAGGAGAGGAGGGGACCTTCCAGTGCTGCCCCTTGGATGCATAAGGAGAAAGGACCCATATTCTGGATCTCCTAGAAATAGTTATAGAACTGTTTAGGTTGGAAAATACCTCTAAAATCATTGAGTCAAATCATTAACCCAGCATTGCCAAGTTCACCACTAAACCATAGCCTTAAGTGTCTACGTAGGTCTTTTAAATACCTCCAGGGAAGGGTCTCTTCCCCCAAGACTGATCTTGCTGGAGAATTATCGTCTTCTTCCTCAGTAGCGGCAGAAAGAAAACATCTATGGAGTTGACTCTTCAGCCCCCACAGTCCAACTCTGACCAAGTCTAGAGTGACTGACTCACAGCATCATTACCAGCAGACAGGAAGGGACAGAGCTGCCATAGACAGAGACAGAAGCCTCAAGGAGGAGAAGAAGTGGTAACAGAGAACACAGTAATCTCCACCACCTGACTCATCCCCATTCATTCTTCCTGGAAAAGCTCATTTTGTTCCACAGTGCTATGCTGGGAATCCACAGAGTAGCTGGGGTGTAGAGCTGATGATGCACAGGGAAGACAGGCTGCTCAGCGTATCTGGTTTTAGGCACTATTTCATTCTGCACACAAATGTATGGCAGTTTTACTGTTTATATCAAAATGCTCAGGTTGATGGTCCATCTTGGAACCTGAGTCACAATTACAACAGAATTATCTTTACCATTGAGGAATATCTGCAAATACTTTCCAAACTGGGCATTGCATCCTTACTCCTCCATGCTGCCAAAGAGAGTAGCAGAGCAGGCAGAGGCATCTAGACACAAGAGACTATAATATACAGCTGCTGACTTACATGGTGCTGCTATGCTAATATCCTCAAGTGGATTTATTTCTAATGGGCCTTCATGTCCCATGCCTGCAGCACTGATTAGAGGAGTTATGCATTGTGATTTCACTGTCTTGTGCTGCATAATACATACTGAAATAAGCTGAGAGGAAAATGAGGCAGACACGAGAATGGAGGATTTGTGCATCTGCTGAATAAAGCCATATAGGGCAGAAGCGAGAAATAAGAGACACCTGTTTCTGGCTTGGCTTGATTACTTTTCACCAAAGTAAAAAACAACCTTGCAAATGTCCTTAATGTAGAAATTAATGTCTCTGTTATTATGTAAGACTGTCATTTTCTGGTGTATACACAGCCTGTGTTAGAGATTTCAGATGATAACAATTTGACATTCATAAACAAAAACTATGCTTGAAAGGAAGATTTCTTTAATAACTTGGATAACAAATAAACAATTCAAGGTGTGACTTTGATTCTGCAGAACCGTGGTCAACACGTGCATAAGCCAGCATAGGCAGGGCACTGGAACAACGCCAAGACCACAGATCAAATGCAAAGAAGTAAATTTCATTTTGTTACCTCAACTAACAAGGCACCCCAGAGCAGCACCCAGGCAGAGATGCAGGCACTGTCCAGTTTGGTCCACACTAAAGGTTCCCCCACCTTGGATCCCTCAGCCCTGGCTGCCAGGCAGCATTTTGCCCTCCCTTGCCCAGCCTTTCTCCAAGGAAAACAGGCTCTCACCTGCCCACCCAGGAGGGGCTCAGCAATGCCACACATGGGGTTTTTTTTGTTTTCTACAAAGCCCAGCACAATGGATCTTTAACTTTAAAAAAACCACCAATCTTTACAAAAGCAGCACATAATCTGACTGAACTTCATTGCTGTATGCAATGTATGGCTGTTTATAATTTATAAACTATTAAGGAAATTGGCTCCAAGGCTAAGCACACTCTTGTGACAGACATGTCACAAAAAAGCAAATAAAACAGATCTATGGTCATGGAATTTACTCTACTGGAACAAATATTTTAAAGGAATGATATATTTACAATCTGTAATATAGTCATTTATATCAACAGCAATAGTAAAAAGCTGTAAAAGTGCACAAAGTCTCTGTAAAGCAAAGTGTAAAGTTAGCAAATAAACTCCATTATTTCAGAAGAAATTACAAGCAAAATTTATTCTTAATAAAAGACAGTATTCTAGGTGGCATTTTGTCTTTCCTGTTTCAGTTTCATTCCCAATAAATCCTATGGGGTTTTTTCCTCTGAAACTGCTAGTTTTCTCTATAACTATATTGATTTCTAAATGAAATAATTCTGAAACTGTTATTTCCTAAATAGCAATACTGAAATGAGTGAAAACCTGGTACAGAATGTTTTGCTGCTGACTTCAGTGAAGCAAAATCTTTGTTTCTGAAGAAGCCATCAATTCCTTACAGGATTTGAAACATAAAAGCATGCACATGCACACACACTTTTTATCCTCAAAATTATGTAAAAGTGAAAATACCAAGCCCAGTGTCTGTACATCAGGAATATTATCTGAGCCACTAATAAAATACTCTAAGGCAAAATAAGGCAATATTAGTGAAACAGAAAATAAATTATATTCTGTGGATGGGGCATAAGCAATGAGCTGCTCTAGAGAAATGAGACAGTCATCTCAAGCACAACAGATAGAAAAGATCACTACTTAGACCTACAGTTTTAAGGGCAATTTTTAAGACCAGTTTTTAAAAGATATCATACAAATCAGGAACAAATCTGTTACTGAATTATAAAAAACATACATAATAGAAAACAATTTTAAGAAATTATATATATATTTTTTTTTTACAGAGCAAAGAAATGGGACAAAATCTTTCAAATTATAGACAAAAGGCTGTTTCTATTGCAGTAATTTTAAGAAACAAGACAGTGAAAATAATAATTATAGCCCTAATCTGAACAAAGCCAAACAGGTAACAGTCAGTTCAGATGCAGCCGACTTGGAGAAAGCAATGCAACTCAAACCCTAGCTGGGTCAGCTTGGGTTCTAGTGCCACCTGCTGAAATAACAGCAGTTTTCCCTTTGCAATCACAGCTAATGAGCAATTTAAATTAATCCTCTGCATTAGACATCAACACATGAAGAAAAGTCATGAAGAAGATGAAGTGCTTGAGTAATCTAAGTGCACATCCAGTGAGCCGTATACTGAACGGAGTAAATTGAGAACCTTCTCTTGAATGATGTCAACCTGCTCTGAAGGGCAGTAATCATCCAAACTTGATCTGTGGGAGGAAAAAAAAAAAAAAGCATGAGAATACAGATATCAAGATATCACCACCATAACCACATTGTGTATTCCTGCAATGCTCCGTGGTTAGGCTGAAGCTTCTTTCAAACTATGGCAAGTTTAGCCTCACAGTATCCCTCAGAAGCACAGTACTGTGCTTCTCATCACTACACTTTAATATAAAGTCTGCAGAAGATCAGGAGCATGATCTAATCTTTCCAGTTCTACTCTCTTCCCGAATACCCTGGCAGTCTAAGCTCAAGCAAATGATCTAATTAAAGGACACATGGAAAATTTTAGATTGAAAAATTGAAATGCTACTGGTAAAGCAGGCAGGAAAACTTGAAAAACAGATCTTCACAATACCTGGTATATAGCACTTTTTACAGCATCTATTAATGAACTTCAAACAGATACTAGTATAAACTGACTTCTTGAATTTTTTATCTGTTAAGATTTACAGAGAGATAATTCTGGTTTCACCACAACAGTGGGTAATGACGCTGCAATCGGCACAGGGTTTTCTTTTATTGCAGGCATTAACCCTACTAGTTGTTGTTGCCAAAACTAGTTTCATATCAGCTTCTGCTATTGTTGCCGGCCCTTTAAGGGCACAATTAGTATTTTTGATTGATTAAATTGCAGTAATTTGTCAAGAAGCACACTGTGGTCTTCAAATTAGATTTTTTTCAGGCCAGTTCTTTGGTTCTCACGGGTCCCTGTCCTCAAACTCTGTTCTGTTGTTCTACATAACACCTTTATGGTCCTGGAAGCCTAACTTTTACCCCATCACAAAGTCTTACTAGAGCTTTGAAGAACATAAATGCCTTTCAACCTACTAGACGAAAACTAGTTCCAGCAGAAGTTTCACTGAAAAAAGGAATCCTATCTGAAATACAACAAACCCTAGAGCAAGAGAGTAAGGAAGGTGGGATTTCAGCCCAAGCCAGCTTTGCTCTAATTAGCTGAAGTTATTACACAAGTAGATATGTATGAACTCCAGTGACAGCTATCAATCCCAATATACACAAGGCCTCACCACAGCCTTTAAATAACCTGTGCTGAAGCACTGCAAGGATTCCACTTTAACAGAGCTTAAGACAGAATTAGTGCTATATACTGACAGGATCATTTACCTTCATGAGCACAGCCTGGACATTTTAAAGTGAAAGTATCTGCAAAGTCTTACCGAGCAATGGTTACCAGTGTGGGCTTGGGCAGATCTGTCAGTAGAACTTTAATGGATTGTATGAGGCCTTCGATCTCGTCTGCAGTGCTGACATGGTGAGGAAGCTCCACATAATCACAGGTCAGACCAGCCTGATGGACCTGTGGGTAAATTAAGAGATTTGATTTCTGTTGATGAATTATCGATACAGCTTATGCACGTAAAAAGTCTTTAGGAAACCATCCCTAGCCCATCAGGTAACCTGCACTTCTTTACACAGGGGAGATTTTCCCCCAGATTGTTCTTTAAACCAGTACAATTCTGGAGGTTGTATGAATTATTTTGTTATCTTCAGTAAGCTGTATCTCTTCTTATGAATTCAGAGTATGCTGCAGCCCTCAGAGATTATATAGCTCTGATAAATAGTTACCTTATTTTAAGTTCTACAGGGGAGATCAACAGACTGGTGAAATTTAGCCTCCATTCACAGGGTGCAGCCCAAGACATCACAGTCCTGGAAGATCACACTAAAGTTGCCTAAACATAGACAGTAAAGCAGACTAGAATTTTGGCAGCTTTGAAAGGAAAAGCTGGTCTAAGTAATAAGACATAAAACCCGAGAAAAATTACCAAAATTGCATGAAGTTCTGAGTCAAGAAGCAAGTCTGAAAGGAAGTATGACTCTCCCCTCCCTCCCTGTCAAAGCTATGCTTTTGACATCTGTCTGCTTTCTGTTCTTTTTCTTTGTCACCTACCATTTCGTAGTCTGGGCTTTCCATCCTGGTTTTCAAACTATGAACTAGTTGAACAAGTGGCTTCATTCTGGAGTTAAAACAAAACCAATACTTGTTACAAACGGTTGGAAACATTTATATATCTTAAATGTTTAGGAGAAAAAAGCGTGAGGAAAAAAGAGGGAAATAGAAATTATGGCCTAGGATTGGAAACGGAAATTTGCTCCTCTGTGTCATCTTGCATCTGCAAAAATGGAAATTATCAGTATTATTGTACTGTTTCACCAGGTCTTTCTTATAAAGTCCCTATATTTATACCTGCGTCTGGCAAGTCCTCCTTGTGCTTCTTTTAGGGTAGGTTCTTCTGAGGAGAAGATGTTGGAGCTCAAAAGTCATATGAACTTTATATTAAATATTTTTTGTCACTGTTACAGAGGTCGTACAGTAACTGCTGCATTTGATGTGGAAAATGAGTGATTTTCCTATCAAGGAAAAGCTCAGACTTTCCCTGTCTCTTTTCATCTGAAAACAATTCATGTGAAAACATCTAGTTTAAAACCAGAGACGCAGTTCAGGTGTTTAGTGGAGACTGTTGCTCAGATACACTTCCATTAACTTTCTGTTTTTCCAAAAAAAGCAGAAACCTTTGGGAGTACCAAAGAACTGCTTCTCCATGTCCTCCTTGGTTTGCTGCCTTTTTTGAGAGCTGTGCTACACACTGATGACCAAGGTTTTAGTCAACAAATATGCCTCTATCCATAGACAACAAAACTTGCATGAAGCTGTACAAGACTGAGTTTCCAAAGCTTACAGTAGCACTGAAGACAGTAGGCTGCCTTTCCTTTTGTCTCTTTCTACTCTAGAACTAAAGGAAGAAGTGTACACTTGTACAGATCCTAACCTTTTCTGTTATCAAAATGCTGGACTAATCAGTTCTCAAACTTCTATTTGCAATTTAGGCCTCTTAGAAATCTCCTACCCAGGATATGAAGCCCATTTCTGTAGGGTTTCTTCATCATCACTGTCACACAAATCTGCAAATGCTGCTTCCAGATCTTCCAGCTGATGAACGCGGTTTTCAACACAATCCAGCAAGTCTTCCTTTAAATAAGCATATATAGAAGTATGTTAGGGAAAAAAAGTTGTAAGAACATCATGACTTATCCTATGATTTAAATTCTGTAATGATTGATCTACTGGAAGTGGGGAATGAGAAACAACCAATTCATTCCTACAGCACTTCTTTTCCACAGGATCATAACAAATGCCAGCAAACTGTTATACCTTCAGAATAAATCACCTCATTTTGTTCTGTTTTTCCCTCTAAAAATTTTAAAAAGCCACCTTTTAAATATGTACCTGCTTTTATTCCTCATTGACTAAGAAATATAAAAATCAATCTGCCAATATGCAACGTATCTTTATTTCTTTATTCTCATATATTCATTAGGTTTTATTTATTTGTGATAAGTATGTTGAATCTCTCTGTATTAGTGTTCAGATGAGATTATGAAAGCTTGTATTTCCATGTTTTAGAAGCATATAACACATAACATGAAAAGTACATTACAGAGCCATAATACAGTCCTTTTCACTTCTGAACAAAAAGGTAAAATCCCAATTACACATTCATTACAGCTCTGACTATCAAGAAAGAGCAACAAGGGAAGGAAGGGGAGAGGCTGGAGGTAGGGGAAAAAAAATCAAAAGAAAAAAGAACCAGCCACCAAAGAACCAAAAAAGAAACATCCCACCAAACCTAAGCCCTGTTAAGCCATAAAAAGAACAAGTTTGCTGGTGACTTACTAAATTTTCATTCCTTCCATGCCAATTACCATTTGTTCACAGAAACAAATTTTCACACTCATGCTAAATATTTATGCAATTCACATGTTTAATCAAGATACTTAATAGGAAAAAATTCCTAAGATGCTGCTGATTAGCATTCAGCTGCATAGCTTAATGTGAGGCTACTTCATTAAGCACCTTTGATAGGTTCCTTCCTGTTGTCCTAACTCATTTTCATTGGGTAAATAAGACGAATCATGCCTTGATACATTCCACAAGCATCATAGCTTCATACCTCTGTTGCATTTTTATGTGGCTTCTTGAAATTGTACAACTCTTGCAAAAGCTCATATTCTGTCTTTGAAAAAGAAAAAAAGAGGAAGAAAATGACTCTTCAAATGAGAAATCCAATCCTCAAAACCTTTCTTCTTCAAAAAAAAGATCATTTCCCTACTCTAGTACTGCAGACAATAATGAGCATAACAGCCTCTCATCAGGACAAGCTACCACTCTCTGGATAATCAACACTACTGTGCGTTTTGAAAGGCAGACTCCTGATATCATCATGACTTTCTAAGCACAGGTTATAGAGGGTAAAAAATGACAGTCTCTCATCCCCTGCTGATGAATCTTGCTGTGGGTATTTGGAAGGCAACCTCTGGAAACCCAAGCATAGCTTTTATGTCCCAAGCAACAAGCGGAAGCTGGGTATACCCCTGAGTTTGAACATCCACTCAATATTGATATCAAGTGAAAGAAACTCCCCCTATTTGGTGGTTGTAATTTTTTACCACATACACTCTCGTAGAAATATTTCTTTAAAATGGAAAGATCTCTTTAAAATATTACCATGAATCATTAACCATAATCAGCTAACTGCTAATTTAACTTAAATGAGAGTTTTTCCATACACATAAATACTAAGGCTGCGACTCTTTTGTGAGCTGTACAAGGATACTCAATTTCCATCCTTACCTGTGTGTACATTTCTTTAAATGGATTTTTAACTGAAAAAAAATCTAAGTCGATGTCCAAAACATATGCGTCCCCTTTCTGCAGTACTTGGCAGACATCTTTAACAATGTCCCTTATTGGGCATTCACTGTTTTTGAGATAGTTTGAAGCTGAATCCTCTGCCAAGGTTTCTGCCCTATTCATAACACCTGCATTTTGAGTTTCCTTCTTTTTCATACTCAGGATGATGTGGTCAAAGTCACCAGGAGCCACTGAAGAAGCAGAAGTGGCACTTGCTGTGTCATCTGTATTTAGCTTCAGTCTTTTAACAGATGCTACTTCACCATTTCCTTCATGGCTGTTTGATGATTCCGTAGGATTGATGAGAATGACGTGCAAATTTAAAGGCTTCTGATTTTCCAGCTGATCAGCAGGAACATAAAGACCATCACTTAAGAAGTAATTATCTGTGCCTGTAACCCTACAATTGACAATAACTCACAGTTAACACACATCTTGGCAAAGAGCTTAGGAAAAAGCATTTTATACTTTAGGGAATGGGAGAAGAATGAATAGATGTTTGATGGGTAATAGAAACAATAAAATTGTGTAGACAAAATTATTTCTTTTAATCCTCAGGTTTAATTGATATTGAAGTTTTTTCTACTTCTTTATTGTAGACTATATTAAAATTCACTCTATATTTTTTATGATATCCCTACAAGGTTTTAATGGATAAGGAAAAGATAATGCATTATATGCTATTAAGATTAATTTGAAATTGAATTGCATTTTAAAGACAACGTAAGATTGCAAACCTATGGTATTTTGTCTTGGTTTTAGAATTTTTTAGGAAAATTATGGTAGTTGGGTTTGAAAAGTACCCTGAAATGCAAAAATATTGACTATAAATAATCAATAAATAGTGAAAGTACAATATTATGAATTTATAAGTAGAATTTCACTTTTTTTACCCCCAAGAGATTCCCTAAGTGATAAAGAGGGTAACTAGAGGATAAATAGCTATCAATTGAATCCACTTAAAAAAACCCACAGAACAACTAATCAACCAAAAGCAACACTAAATCTTCTGCTTACATACAGTGAGAATTTAAAGAATAGAATTTCCAACCTATATTGCAGTACATTAAACCCTAAGCATCATAAACTCAAATTACAAGTAAGACTAAGAAATGTGAACTTCTGCTCGCTTGCGGTAAGGCCTCCTTTGAATACAGGGTATCACCATTAATCAACCACAAAGACAAATAATTTCCTAAGCAGGTGAAATTTGAAGCTTAGTTCCCCAGCAGCTTGTGGATGGATTACCCTTAGTTTGTCAAGGTGAGAGGCTGGATTGCAACTCCATCTTGTTGACAAGGCATTCACAGCACAGCTTCCCAGAAATTCTGCAGGGTTCACCATGAGCTCATAGTACCTTAGTGTCCACTAATGAAGAGGCTGTATCTATTGTCTATCCATCTCTTGTCATCAAAACTTTTTGGGCATTCGTATTTATGAGGACTCTCTCCCTTTCTTCCTTCATGGTTTTGGTAAACCAACAACCTGAGGAAAATGTACTCAACTGGCTTCAAAAGGAAGTCTGAAATGTTGTTTTCATGACTGCTAAGGCCACCAGTGAGAGAGCTATTCAATCATCAGGAATTATTCCTATATATTGGCTAAATGATTAAATGGAACAGAAAGCACTAGCTTTAAAAAAAATCATTTAGGTTCCCTTTAGGCTTCAGGTTCAGAATTGCTGAGCTTTAAGTGTTTTATTTAAGGTGGTAAAACAAAGCATTTATCTGCTGTTTTCTGTTAAACTTGCTTCAAAAGATTTATTCTGCTATGCTCACAAGAGATATGATTTGCAAATACCCATTAAAGCTACGCAAAATCACAACACTGTGAATATGGTGAATGCAAAATTATTATGGACTGCATCCTGCAAAATGATGAGGGGCTCTGATTCGAACTTGAATCACAGGGTAATTAAGATTCAAAGAGACAACTGAAAGTCTCTAGTCAAACATCTGATCAAAACAGAGCTGACTTCAAAGCTAGATGAGGCTGCTCTGGTAAATCATCCTTTATCAAATGATGGAGAATTCACCTGAGTACCTGTTTCAGTACTTAACTAGATTAACTTCAAAAAAACCCCAAAACCTCCAAACAAACAAAAAAACCCACCCCACATGAGAAAACAGTCATGGCTGATACCAAATAACAATTTTACTAGTTAGAACAAAGAATAAATTGATGTAAGTGTAACTGCATTATGCTCTAAGAACATTATAAATACAAATTAAATTTTCATCTTTATCCAAGAAAATAGAAAAGATTCCAGTGAAAAGCTATAGAGATGGCTTTTATATTACTAGCATATGTCAGCAAACAACTTACCTGATTGTTGTTGTTGATACATCTTTCCCAATTAGAAAATTGTGTTCCCCTTCCGAGATCTGCTGAGCCCAGCGTGGGTGAAGCCACACTACTTGGGAAATATGGCCAGCATACACAGCTGGCATAATCCAGTTTTCAATACTTAATTCACTATAATCAGTATAGAAAGACAGAAGATAGCAATGTTACTTTCCCTATAAATAAAAATAGACAAGAACAGCACAAACATCTTCTATATCTTGAAGGTCCCCATGAAAATCATCTAAAATTAGTACTCCATGTAAGGGTAACATCACCAAAGAAAGAAAAAGAGGGAAATCTTCATTCCTAAGACAAACCAACAATGTCTGTAGAAGGTATAAAAAAAGTTCAGACATAGAGTGGAATTGGCTTCACTCTTAGTGTGGCACTTTGATTATAAACTCCTCAGTGGTATACCTGGCAGTGTCAGGTTAATGGTTGGACTCGATAATCTTAGAGGCCTTTTCGACCTTAACGATCCTGTGATTCTGTGCCCTCTTCCTATTGATACAATAGACAGAGGAAAGTGCAAGGAACATCATCAACATTGTTCTACATAACTTCAAACTGAACTCACAAGAGTGTGTTATTGTAAACTGCTCCAGGTATATTTTAAATGTCATCCCAGTAATTAAAGTGAGTCAATCCACATCCACAGGAATAGCATGTTTCCTCATTATCAAGACCCTATTTTTTTTAGGTGTATGATGCCAAGTGTATCCTGCACTGCAGCAATAAAGCATGATGATCAGGTCACAGGAGGGGATTCTGACCTTCTATTCTGCTCTTGTGAGACCACACAACTGGAGTGCTGCATCCAGTTCTGGGCACCCCACATAACAATTACATGGACCTGTTCAAGCAGGTCCGGAGAAGGCCACAAAGATGATCAGAGGGCTGGAACACCTTTCCTATGAGGACAGGTTGAGAAATTTGGGGTTGTTCAGCCTGGAGGCCGCACAGAGACCTTATACTACCTTCCAATACCTCAAAAGGGACTACAAAAAAGCTGGAGAGGGACTTTTTACAAGGTCATGCAGCGATAGGACAAGGGTTTAAACTGAGTGTGTTTGGATTAGGTAATAGGAAAAAATTCTTCATTGTGAGTATGGTGAGGCACTGGAATAGGCTGTCCAAGCAGTTGTAGGTGACCAATGCCCAGAAACGTTCCAGGCCAGGTTGGATGGGGACCTGAGCAACCTGGTCTAGCGGAAAGTGTCCCTGCCCATGGAAGGAGAGTTGGAATTAGATGATCTTTAAGGCTCCTTCCAACCCAAAGCATTCAATGATTTTATCATAAAGTCCACAAAACCTTTTAGTCATCCAACAAAGAGAACTAAATATTGACTATGGCTAAGGTGATTGAAGTACACCAAATACATCAGCTTGTATTTGCTGTAAATCATCATAATACTGAAGTTTCAGCAAAAGACAAAAGACACAACTTGAATCTGACATACCTCTTTTGTTCATCCTTCCTATGCAGTCATACCAATATTCACTGTGAATCAAAGGCGGTAAGAAGTAGACTTAAAATCTACTCTGATGCAGTACCCAGGGCTTACCTAAAAAGAGCTTCTTTGTCAAATACGGTGTCCGCAGGCATATTCACAGGTATAAGAAGGTCTGGATGAGAATCAAGATGAACAAAACTGATGTTACTGGCAGGAAGATGCTTTGAACCAATGGCACGATAGATGTAAGGCAGCACCTAAAGCAACACGAATAAAAACATTTTGATGATAACCAGTGGGCTGAAAAATGCAACGGCTTTACCAGCAAAACCACCAGTACCACTTTTATTCCTTTAGAATTTGGATTAGAGGGAGGAGGAGACAAAAAGCAATACAAAGGGGAAAAACTCCAGTGACAAAACAACTCATGAACAGTAATCATTATAAGCCCAAGCATTCCAGATGAGAAACTGCTGAAGAGTCACAGCTTTACACCGTTTTTCCTTCTTTATAGGAAGTCTTGTTGGCAGTAGCTCTTCCCACTAGCCATTCAACTCAATTCCTAGATTTTTTTTTCCATTTACAACTAAGCCCCAGGAATGCCTTTCCTCTTCTGCAGATCATTGCCTGTGTATCTCTTTCTCACCATGCACTGGTGGTATGGAGATAAAACCATTCCTCCTTATGTTTTATAAGTTAACAGATATAGACTGAAAACTGACCCCACCATGATTTAAACTTTAGCTATCCATTAAACTATTCCTCTTGAATAATTAATTCCTAATCCCTCCATGACTTTGCAATAGAGACTAACTTTCTCAACCGCCCAACTTTATTCCCTGCTGAAGATTTTCACTCAGAAGTGTGAAAAACGGGAGGTGAGGCAACTCACCAATTTACAGAATAGCAAACCACTGACTGAACTGCAATAATATAGAGTAGTAAAAATGAGAAAACTGATGGCTGATTCCTCTTACTCAGAGCTGCAGTACACAGAGTCTCTCCCACAGTTAGAAGGCATCAACTGCCTTGGCTGCCAGAGCAAATCCAGCAAGGATTGTGAATCACAGCCCTATTATACAGGAAATGTGAAGACTGTAAGAAGCAACAAAAATTATGTGTGACCTCTACATTACAACAGCAGCTGAGCTACCTTTTTTGGCATAAAACTGATTAAGATGACAAACCCTGCATACTGTATAGACAAAACCGTAAAATGTAGGTATATTATTGTAATAGTAGGTAAAATAAAATTAAAAATAACATGGATTCCCTGATTTATGGCCTTTACTTCTTTATAAAAAAGAAGCAATCTGGCCGACCAGATAACTTATAATATTTTCAATTAAGATTGAAGCTTCATCTCAGGTAAGCGCAACACCAGTTACAAGAGACATGAGACTAAGTTCGCTAACCTTGCAAGTTCTCCTGACTTGGATTAAGAACAAAATTTCCTCCATGAGGAATTATTTATTAGCTGTTGCTAATAATCAGTGCATGATACAGCTACTGAGAACTTCCTCTGGAGGAACATCACTGTCAGCAAGGCTGATACACAATTTTCTGTGATGTTCTTACACTTTGGGACAAAATGCCATTTATATGATAGACTGATCCATCTGCACTCCTACACCAAAAACATTTTAAATTAAATATTTTGTATTAATGGAACTTTAAGCTAATTGAAAACAGAAATACAGAGACTAAAACAAAGAAGGATCATTGACATTATCTCAGAATTCCTACCACAGTGACACACTAAGACCTTGACTACCATGAAAAATCAGCTTTCACAGCATCATACATTCAGTGAGTCTTAGCAAAAATGAACTGCGTTAAATTATTTACAAATTCATAACGTTATTTTCTTTAATAAACTTGACTACGCTAATAATTTCTCTTTACAAAAAATCTAGTAAAGAAGCTGTTATTTTAGCATTAAAGCCTCAGCTTATGCTCAGTTCATAAAATACCCCATGAGAAGCCAGAAACAGCAGTTCAAAAGCAATTCCTTCCTCACTCCCTTTTTCAATGACTCCACGAAAGAAAGCAAAGCTTCAGATTTTTAACATTTCTCATCAAGAGGAGTCAATCTACTTGTTAGTATTTACTTATCCTCTGTTGACATGTCATACACCGTGTAGGGTTGAGTTTCCAAGCACCCCACTAATAGCTAGAAAATTATAACAGCAGTGCAATGTAGGTATTATTACCTTTAAACCATAGCAATTAACGATACAATGAAGAAAAAATTATTCAGCAACAATTACTTTAAAAGATGCCAAAATGCGATCATGGCAATAAGTAGCTCAGTCGCTGCATCGGGAACGAAGACAAGTCACCTGGGCACTGAAGTTCATTGGGGTTTCAGCAGCGGAAGGGAAGGCAGATTTAGGGTTTGTGTGTGGCTGCGGAAAGGAGGGCCGTTCCCAAGAACCCGCACACATGACGGGAAAGCGCAGCTCCCGGGGAGCTCCCGGTGACCGCCCCGGGCACCTCTCTTGGCTTCCACCTGCCACACTGAGCATCCGCGCCGCGGACAGGCACACGAACGAACAAACACACACAAACCCGTCCCCATGCCCCACCCGAGGAAGCCCCCATGTCCCGGCAACCCAGCGCGGGGCACTCACATCCTGGTGGTCCTCCACCACCCACACGGGCAGGGCCGGGTAATGCCGCCGGGAGGCCCGGCGGGGCCGGGACGCGCCGCCGGGCCCCGGCTCCGCTCCGCTCATGCCGCCGCTGCCCCCGGGCGGGCGGCGCTTCCGCCCGCAGCGCCTCCCACCGCTTTCCTGTTCCGGAGCCGGGGCGCTGCGGGCACCGCTGGCCTCGGCGGCGGCCAGGACACCAGGTGGGCTCGGCGTGCCGGGCTGCCCGCGGAGGGGCGGCGGGGCCGCCTTCGGCCCGCTCCGCGCTGCTCGTGGTGCTCCGCAGGGGTTGGGGCCGGGGCGTGGCGGGGGCGCAGGTCCCGCGGTCCGGGGAGCGGCGGCTCCGCGGGGCTGGCGGGGCCGTGCGGCCGAGCAGAGCCGGGAGCCGGGAGCCGGGAGCCGGGAGCGGAGAGCGGGGCCCGGCCGGGGGCGGCTCAGCGCTGCTCCCGCTCCGTGGCCCCCTGGGCCGGCAGGAGGCGCGGTGGGGTGAGCGTGGGTGGTCCTGGATGGGTCAGGTCGGAAGGGACCCCACAGTGGTCATCTGGTCCAATCCCCCTGCTCCAGCAGGGTCATCCCAGAGCACATGGCACAGGACTATGTCCAAACGGCTCTTGAATATGTCCCGTGAAGGAGGGATTCCTCTCAGTGGAATCCGTTCAGAGCGCGGTAACCCGCACAGTAAAGTTCTTCCTCATGATCAGGTGGAACTTCCTGTGCATCAATTTCTGCCCATTCACTCTTGTCCTGCTGCACGGCACCGCCGAGAAGAGCCTGCATCCATGCTCTTATAGACAGACATCCGCTTACAGACATTGATGATGTCCCCTCTCAGTGCGCTCTTCTCCATGTGTCAGTGCCCTGTTGCTCTCAGCAGTGCATCTGCGGAGAGAGGCGAGTTTATTCGGGGACCAGTGCTGCATTCGAATGCAATGGCTCCCGTCAGTGCAATAAAATTCCTCTTTAGGTGGCAGGGAAAGGGGAGTTTGCCCTTTTCTGTGTTTTCGAACTTACTTAACTTTAAATGAAAATTGGATGCGGCTTGCGTTTGCACCAGAGGGAGCTTTAAAATAATTTGAGCATGTAAAATAGTTTTGTGTATTTTTGAATCTTTTTTTCCAGTTGTGATTCTGTGTATTCTGAAGGACTGAAATTAAAGTAGTAGGACAAGAGCAGTTCTCTGGCATCAGGGAGATCTGAGAGCGGATAAGGAAGACCCTTTGTTTGAATGCTATTATGTGTTAGAAAAAAACAGTTAAAACACAAGGCACTGTGGTACAGCCTGTTTAAATAAAATGCGTGTGTGAATGTTAGCGAAGTTCTGAAAGTCTGTTACACGCCTGAGGTGTGTGAAAGCACAGCAGGAGAACTAAAGCAAAATTACTTCAGCATGTGATGGATTATAGTTAATAATGTCAAAAGGGTGCACTATTGCCAGACAAAATTAACGTTGACTTTTTTTGTTTGTTTGGGTTTCTTGTGTTTTTTTTTTGTTTTTGTTTTTGGTTTTTTTTGTTTTTTTTTTTGAGAGCGTTTACAAAGTTGGAGGGTACAGGCTGACTGGGAGGAGCAAGTGGCTTTATATCATCGTGGTTGCTATTTCCTCAAAGCGTGGGATTCTCACTCGCATTGGCCCTTGGTTGTTCTGGAGAGGGAATGACCACCACCAATTCCAGTGGCTTCTAAGCCCTGTGTGTGTGTAAGGAGGGTCCTCTTAATTCCTGCAATTTGATCTGAGTAATTTTCCCCTTTCTTTTCCTTTCTCCCTCCAGTTCACGAGAAGCTGTCTACTTTCTCTCAGCAAGAGCTACATCTTTTGCTGCAGTGTCACCGGAATGCAGCTGAGCGCAGTGCTCTGAGCAGTCCAGGTTGGCCATGTTGCACTACAGCAGGTGGGAGAATATTCTGTGCATATACTTCAGCATCAGCAAAGCCTCAGTGAAAGGGAGGCTTTGTTTCCTTTTTCAGGTGATCTTTGCAATTGCGTGTGTCTCCCCTTTCTTTCTCACTTCCCCGTATGGAAAACAGGATTTGACTTTTGGAGATGCTTAGATAATTTTTTCCTCTTTCTTTCCATTCCGGCCATAAATTTTTTACAGGTTTTTTCCCTTTTTTTTTTAGTTTTTGAAACTTAACATTGTAATTAAAGAATCAGTTTTAACTTTAGTGAAGCACAGTGCTTGCATTTATAAACGTTATGCCTTAAATACATGCCTAGTTTTGAGCAACACTTAAGCTTATTTGAAGAACTAATTTCTCAAGGGTAACAGGGCTGAAAAGGCAATTGAAGGATTTATTGGGAACTGTCTATTTTTTAATGAAAATTAAGGAATAGGACAGTCTACATGAAATTTTTTTCATAACCTCTAATATGTGTAACCTGTTTTTCCACAAAAATACACCTACCTCTCTTAAGATACTTTGAAGAGTCTGTTAAATTCAGTCCTTTAGTACTTTGGGGACTCAATAGTGAATGTAAATTGCTAGTATCTCATTTAAAATCTACATGATTTGTCGGGCCGGGTGGCATGCGATGAGGTAGGTGCTAGGTCATTCTGCCCGGAGTTTAAAATTGTTTTCTAGAAAGGACTCCTTGTTACACAACTTTGGATGCCCACTGCAGTTATTAATAATGAGTGAATCCTTTGGTGCAGGGTGTCGAAAGGGTTTATATCAAAGTGTCTAAGTACTAGTGGAGTTGCTTGTATCCTTGACCTGTCATCATAACAATAAATTGTTGAAATTACATTGCCCTAACTTGTAAAGCATGGTCCAGCTTGGGTTCTGGCTTAAAGACAGTAAGTGCTTTCATGGATTAGAGGCTTAAGGGAATCAAAAGTGACCTGCACTAAAGGTCTAAGGAGCACAAAGCTCCCAGTGAAAGTGGATATCATTTACTGCTTCTGTTAAAGGAAACTGCAGTTTCAGCACTTTAGGAGTAGTTCCTGCAGATGCATTGAGGACATCTTACAAAAATTGTGTGACACAGGAATTTTATTTTCCTCGATAAAGGTGAGCCATGTCTTTCCATTCTGGGCGAGGATGTCCCCGTGGCCAGGGGGGACCAGGAGCAAGAACTTCAACGCAGACCTACCGCCCCCAGAACCTCCGGCAGCTTCACCCGCAGCAGCCCTCCGTGCAGTACCAGTATGAGCAGCAAGCTGCCCCTCCAACAACCTACTCCAACCCTCCTCCAACCACCGGTTACATGCCTCCCAGGCCAGACTTTGTGCCCTATCCTCCTCCAGTGCCCCCTTCTACACAAAATCCCATCAGCCAGTGTCCCATGAGGCCGCCGTTTCCAAACCACCAGATGAGGCAGAGCTTCCCGGTGCCTCCATGTTTCCCTCCCACTCCTCCACCAGTGCCAAATCCCAGCAACACTCCCGTGCCAGGAACACCTGCTGGGCAAAGCACCTTTCCTTACATGATGCCTCCCCCCACGGTACCACACCCTCCCCCGCCTCCAGTCCTGCCACAGCAAGTCAGCTACCAGCCCGTGTACTCGGCGGGGTACTCGCAGCAGTCCTTCCCGCCGCCCGGCTTCAGCAGCTACCAGCACGGCTCCGGCTCCTTCCCCAGCAGCACTGCCAGCAGCAGCGCCAGCAGCAGCCACTTCCGGCACACGGGGCAGTACCAGGGAGACAAGTCCCAAAGTGACCGGCGCTCCCCGGACAGGAGCAAGCACTACGATGAGCACCGGCACCGCGAGCACGGCCACATTCACGGCGACAGGCACCGCTCCGCTAACCACGGCGATCGTCGCGATCGCGGCCGCAGCCCGGACAGGAGGAGGCAGGAAAGCAGTCGGCACCGGACAGATTACGACAGAGGAAGGATATCACCTCATCACAGAAGTTATGAGAGAAACAGGTAACTGTTACCTGCCTGCAGGGGGAGAGATGTCATCATTGTCCCATAGTATGTGTTTGCATCGATGCTCTTCCCTTGTCCTTGTTAGTCCCTGTTGCTCGGGAAGTAGCCAGGTCCCATGGAAAAAGTTACTGTTCAGACACCTTTCAGGTACACTGCTTTGCCTCACAGTTGTGAGCTGGCAGACTTGTTGCTTTCGTCCATGGAGATAGTTTTCAAGCAAGAGCTTATGTCCCACTGAGTGGATTGTTGAGTAGCGCTCAATATACTTACCTTAGAAATTTATGCACGTGTGGTAGGAAAATAGTGGTACTGTCAGACTAGAAAGTTGAATCTTACAAACAATTAAGCTGCAGCATTTTGAATTTCAAGATTTGAGTGCCAGGTGTTACTTTCTTTCAGAAAGCCTTGAATTTTAGAGAGCACTGACTTGGTGAGGTTTATAGTCTGATAGGGGCCCATAGCTAATACTTGTAGTAAGATATTTTATGAAAAGCATGTTATATTCAGGATGAAGACCTCAGCAAGCCAGCCTGATCTCAAGAGAGGACTGAGGTGAAAGTGAGCATGGGCCAGTTGTAGGCTTCACTGATGTCATTCAGATAAATGAATGTGTGCTGCTTATTTTGGGATTTATCATGAAGTGTTGGTCATGGACACAGATGACTTGGAAATTATGAGTTGACCTGTTGCAATTTTCTGTGTCATGTTTTAGAGCAAACCATCATCTTTCTCATGTCTTAGATTTGTTCTGTTTGTAGCTTTTCATTAGTGTCTAATGAACTTTGCCAAAATATTCAAAGAGCTACTGGAAAGTTAAGTGTTTATCAGGGCTCCTGGATCACGTGCTCTTAATTTTAAAAGCTCAGATGTTTTTCATGCCCCATATGGAACATGAATTTA